CCTAATTGACGTAATAAGGTTGTAAGTACTGTAGGTAGGCAAATATACGCTTTAAATTATTAGTGATTTTCGTGTAGTATATATTCGATTTAATCGAAGAATTTATTGCTGCATATCAGTTACAGCATTCTATAGGTAATTATTGCTTTCAATTCCCACAAATATAAACTCGAATTCCTGTTAGAACAACAACAAAAAAATGATCCATTCAAAACGCGTTTGTAATTAATGAAAGACGCGTTAAAAATTCGGATTACCCATCGTTCGATCCATAACCCTCGACCGACAAATAACCCAATAAGCAACCCATCAACGCGCCTGATTAATCTACCTAGCCCTAATAAAAATCACCTTTTGTCGGGTGAAATAATTAGGCGAAGCGGCGACCAAACGCCTTTGTCTAATTATGACTTACAAAGACGTCTTCTGTGTGTGTTTTCATCGCAATAATATACGGTGTAATTAAACGGTAGTGCTCGACGGGAGGCGCTGCCGTTCCAAAAGGCGACACGCTGTTTCGGAATCGATAAAGAGGCCTTTGCTCCCCGGATTATTCGGTCTCTTTTCCGTGTATCTTTCGCCCGAACACTCCATATACCATTCTACGTGTATCAGTATATATTTTTGATTTCAAACAGTTATAATATTGATGTAATATCAAAGTTATTTCTCACGAAATTTCTCACCAAAATTATAATATTTTTTTGGGCTGGTATACCTACTCTAGAGCAGAGTAGTGTTGACACTACTTTCATAACACTTTTCAAATAATTGCAGAAATCTTGCATAGATATTTTGTTGATAAAAGTTTCGATACACCGAAATTTCGCACCAAAATTATAATACTTTTTTTTGGGCTGGTATTCCTATTCTAGAGCAGAATAGTGTTGATTAGAGAAGAGAGTAAATTAGAGTAGATTAGAGTAGAAGTAACACCTTTTATAGCACTTTTCATATAATTGCAGAAATCTTGCATAGATATTTTGTTGATAAAAGTTTCGATACACCGAAATTTCGCACCAAAATTATAATATTTTTTTTGGGCTGGTATACCTACTCTAGAGCAGAGTAGTGTTGATTAGAGAAGAGAGTAAATTAGAGTAGATTAGAGTAGAAGTACCACTTTTCATAACACTTTTCAAATAATTGCAGAAATCTTGCATAGATATTTTGTTGATAAAAGTTTCGATACACCGAAATTTCGCACCAAAACTATAATATTTTTTTTTTGGCTGGTATACCTACTCTAGAGCAGAATAGTGTTGATTAGAGAAGGGAGTAAATTAGAGTAGATTAGAGTAGAAGTAACACCTTTCATAATAATTTTCATATAATTGCAGAAATCTTGCATAGATATTTTGTTGATAAAAGTTTCGATACACCGAAATTTCGCACCAATATTATAAAATTTTTTGAGCTGGTATTCCTACTCTAGAGCAGAGTAGTGTTGATTAGAGAAGAGAATAAATTGGAATAGATTAAAATAGAAAAAACACCGAAAAATTCGAATCAACAAAATCTTTGTCTAAATTTTTGATATAAGAATTGAACATTTTAATAGCTTTTCGTACGTTTCTATGTTTCATGAGTTATCTGCTACATATGGGAAGTATGACTCAGGATGGGATTGAGTAGTACAATTTAAATAATAATATGTTATTAATGCTTTTCGTGATGATTTTTATTCCGTTTTATTACGTTAGTAGTAGATATCAAGGTAAATGCTTGTAGATAGTAATCGTGCATCCTTTTAAATTTTATTTTATCTAGCAACTTTGAAGATAAATAGGTATTAGCAACTTGGATCGAAAATAAATATGAATTGACACCCAAAAGACAATAGTAAAATCCACCTGTTGGAAAACATATTACAGAAGTAATATTAAAAGAAAAATACTTATAGTAGTAGATAATTGAAGTGTCCCGACCGAAAGGCTTGTATAGGGGTTTGTCGCCTTCCGAGGAACGACACAATAACATAACCTAGAAAATTCCATCGGCGGATACCTAATAAATAAACTCGCCGACGATAAAAAGTTCCCCGTACTAGTAAAGCGTTAGTTAGCAAGAAGCCGAGAAGTCGAAGAGCAGCAAGCAGAAGAAGAAGAAGAAGAAGGAGCAGCAGAGAAGAAAAGTCGCGGATACGCCGAACGACGTCCCGGCATACCTCGATCTGGCGGCGCATCAAAGCCAGAATGCGGTCGTACCGATGTGCCATTGTTTTCACACACTGAAATCGCCGCAAAAACGAGGGCGGCTGCGGCCGGAGTACTCTTTGATTCGCATTGCGAACGTCATTTGTTAGCGGACAAACGAGTATCGTCCGGGTACTGCTCTTGTTACTCTCCGGCCGCTGCAAAAGTGAGTTATTAGCCGAAGGTTGGGATGCTCGTTTACTGGCTTTTCGATGTAATTGATTGTCCTTTGATTAGATTTCTTCCTTTTTTTTGCTTCTTCTTCTTTTAAAAAATCATTTATATTGTTCTCTACAGTTTATACCAATCTTCCACATAGATATCTACTTATTATTTGACTAGATCTCTGCAATATCTTGACTAGAAACCATCAGAAGACCTAAAGAAGCTTTAATTCTAGTGTTTGAAATTTGATTTGATATTTCGAAATTAGAGAATGCAATTAATAGATTATAGTTCGATTAAATTTCTTTTATTAACCAATTTGATTCCTCTATTTTTCAAAATTCGAACGAAATTCAGCGAGCGAATCTTTGCCTAAAAGGGTTATCAAAATTCTTAGAGATACATCAAATCATTTCAAATTAATATGATATTTCAAATAGTTCAAATTAAATTGAGTTTCAATGAATTCTGCTATTATTTATTCTACCTAAATTAGATACTCTTTAATTTTCAAGGGAATATCCACACATACCAAGTGGAGCTCGCGCAGCGAGCGAGACCCGATTCATCCCTTGTCCAAAATTCATGAAATCTACAAGAATATATGTGTAAATATCATGCCATCATAATTATTCTGTTTGTTTGATCCGAGGGTATTCATCTATTGAAAAAAATTTTTTTTTCGTTGGACTACCGTTGAGGAACGCTTATGTAAAATATTCACGCGGCATTCTAATTGATAGGTATGCGATATTCAAATTAATATATTTTTTTTCTTTCGTGAAACTCGCGGAGTCCAGCTCGAACGTCTTACTGTTAATAACAGGGAGAGGAGGCTCGTTTCCACATAAAATTCTCGAAAAGTATGATAATCAGATGCAAATGAATTATTTTATTTTTTAATATACATGAGTTTCGGGCGGGTATACAGCGGGGTTCGTGTTGTTTCTTTTTTCTCTCCTGGTTTTCGCTGCGGTTTTAATTTTTCGGTGGTTTTTGGCGTTTGTATAATTAGGCCTTCTGGCGCCGTTAATCTGCATGACAAAGTCCGTTTTGCTCGGGTCTAGACAAAAAATTGTTATAATTAAAGGGTCAACCATAATTTTTTTGTTCTTTGTGAATTTAATACCTATTTCTTTAGGAATAATATTAATTTTATATTATTGGAAAAATATTAGTCGAATGTTAATACAATTTGCAAAATAAAGGTGGAATAAACAACCAAACTACCGCCTTAAGTTTCATATTACTAGATGAATGATTAGGAGCAATATTTTATAATATAAAATAATACTAAATGTAAAGGATGGGGGAATGTCCATTAACCCCGTAAACGATTTATTCTCGAGGCGAATTTCTGTATAGTATTCAACCTAGAAGACAGAATTATCATTATTAACCAAATTAATGTTATAAATGTTTTTCCATGATTCGATCGCAACCTCAATGTTTATATCTTGTAATAACGTAGCATTTTATAAGCAAATATCTGAGTTGTAACGATATTCTGTTATATGTAAGTAGTTCATACAGATTTCATACTTGGAAAGTTGGGCAATATGCGATTTTTAAACGAAGAAAAAGAGTTTTTTTTAGCGATTCGTTCAATCGCTCAAATTGAAAACATCATCACTGTGTATGTATCATGGAATAATAAATTAGAAAAACAACATTAAATTGGCAAGGACAGAAGGAGTAATTTAATTAGATATGGGAAACTAATAATTACATGCCTGCCGATGGAAAGAATACCGTATATGAAATTACACAGGTACACATTATGTCACGAAATAATTATTGTATATGTAGATACAATGGTGGTTGTTTCGCACCAAGAATATTATAACCGGGGATAGATATATAGTAGATATGTATAGACGTCACGAAAAATTTATGTGTTTTTTTCTAATCATTTATCTTAATAAAAAAATATTGAATATTCACTAATTTATTATCTAATAATCAGATTCTAATCGTATGAAAGTAAATTTATTTGTTAAATATATAATATTTCTATAAATATTTAGCTTATTTAGTTGCATTATTTTTAATGCATAATTATGTTTACTATACACAAATACTGCAAGATAATTTTAATGTTGGTAATTTATTAGCTTGTTTTTTAAGAGAGTGTACTTACAAAAGTGTCTATCAAAACAAAAAACATAATAAAAGATAAAATTGCAAGAAGATATAGATATGTAGATGTTGCATATATGTTAGTTATATCGAAATTAACGTATAGGCTTAGCAGGGAGACATATAATCCTAAATTGATTGCGGGAAAAGCTCAGAACGAAAAAAATAACAAATTAAGTTCAATTTATTTTTCCTAGTAGTCCTTGCAATTGCTTATAATCGAATTAAATCAACAATAGAGTATTAGTCTAAAAGGTATACATAGAGTATAGATAGTTAAACCAAATATCTAATTTGATAATCTACATGGAAATTGTTTCAAAATACTCAGTTTCAAGGATTTGTATTATTTATTTAATGAATTTATAATGTTCTTCCCTAGACTTGCATTCATCTACTTCAAGTTTTTTAAATATATTTAAATCATATGAAAATTCATAATTCTTCAAAGTTTTCATTAAGTTTTATTAAACCAATTTAATACTTAATCTATAGATACATGTATATTAAAAAAGTACTGAAAATAGTACAAAAATACAATCAATACATGCTAGAGGACACTGCAACAAATACCAATTTACTCTAAAACAAAAAATCTTCCTTCATCATTCATCACACTTTCGGCTTGGAGCTCTCCCCCTTCAACATCAACTGGATTTCCTCCAGCGTTTTCCCTTTCGTCTCCGGAATCACATAAAACGACGCTATCAAAGCCAGCGTGTTGCCCACCGCGAAGACGAAGAACGGCGCGTGGAATCCGAAATACATTTCCGAATAGTTATACAGGGTGTTCGTGAACATCAACGACAAGCTGAAAGTCATCACGAGAACAATCATGGCCTTCGCTTTGATTTTGGCCGAGTACAATTCGCTCATCATTAAAGTGGGGAGAACGCACACACCCGAAGCTGCGAATGCGAGGAAGATGATCATCAGAGTGATGGGTAGCCAATTTAAATCCGAAAAATCCTCGTTTCCGTATTCGTTTAAGTAGAAGAATGTTCCTAGAATGTATAATACTACAGCACAACCGGATAGAGAAGTTGTATACAAAGTTCTCCTTCTAAATCTATCGACTATGAAGCAATTTACCAGTAAATTGAACGCGATGTTTATCCCCATGAAGATGATTCCTGTGACTGGGCCAACGTTAGTGCCAGATTTCGCTAATATCACCTGAATGTACTGCAAAAACATAGCCAAACCGGACGTATACTGAGACAATCTAAGAAAAGCTCCTGCGATGATCGCCTTTCTGTTGCTATTTATCGTAAAAAGATCCAACCACGTCCCGGACTCGGCGATCTGCCTTTGCACCCCCTTCTCGATGGTTTTGTACATTTCGTCTACGTTTCGTTTGCGCGTGAGACGCTTCAGGGACTCCTTCGCTTCGTCCTCTCTGCCTTTCATTATCAGAAAATACGGGGATTCGGGAGCGAAGCTGAACAACATCGCGAATACGATCGGTAACGCTAAGCAAACGTAAGCTGACCGTTGCACGTTGAAGTACAATCCGATGATGTGGATGATGAATTCGCCGATGTAGTACGAGCTGGCCAAGGCGTTTCCCCAGGTTCCTCTCACCTTGGGATTCGTGATTTCCCCGATGTAATTCGGGAGCACTGAAAAGTAGCAGGACGCGGAGAAACCTGCCAGGAGTCGGCTGGCGTAGAAGTAGTAAGCGTTGCTGGCGAATATCGTGAGGATCCAGCTGGATATTTGGGGAATCACGGCCAATATGTACGTCCTTTTCCTTCCTATTCGGTCGGAGAGGATCGAGAACATCGGACAGGCGATTATCATGCCTAAGGGGTAAATGGTGTTGAGCCAGGATGCTTGTTGTTCAGTGACGTGGTATAAATCGTAGTTGGACATGATTTCTTCTAGGAAAGGGGATGTCCAAGAGAAGAAGAATCCATCAGTTACGCCGCTCAGTGCACCTTTTGGGAAAATAACATTAGTTTCCTAATAAAAATAAATATTTGCATTTATCACTATTGTCTATGAGTCTACAAGGTTATGTTTTTAAATGTCTACGATAGTTGAGAGTTAATTCCATTGTCTAAATTTGAACATAATTCATATTTATGCATTTTATAAGTCAATAAACAAATCTAGTTTGTTGGTCTATTATTTTAATGTTAACATTTGAGTTGGTTTTATTTGCACATTATTTTACTAGTCAGATTGTGATAATATGGGATAATTTATTGGCTTGTTTTTGGTATCTACACTTACATAAGTGACTATCATAACAATAAGCTTGCTGTAATAGCAAACGAATATTTTAAACCTTTACACTATACATTAAAATGTGGCTAAAATATGCAGTAGTAATAATGATTTGGCATATTTTTATATTTATTAATCTACGATTTATTAATCTACTCATTTAACATTCAATACAATATTAGTTTAAAATGTATTCTACTATAGTTTAATTAAAAACTTTACACACAAGATTGATGCTCGAGTAAGTACATTTATTTAACAAGTAGGTAAATGAAATTCGTGGAAAACGTTATGTTTCAATAGGTTAAAAATAAAATAAAATTAACTAACCATAATAAATTAGAATTATTATATACTTACTGATTAAAATAATTACAACTTGCGGCCAATATTTCTCCTCATCGTCATCGGTTATTTTTGTTTCTGTCTGGTTACTTTTTACAGTCATTACGAATACTTTTCAGCTCAACGTGACACCAATATATGTATCTTATTCTTTTTAAATTCCCGAATTCGTTTTTTAACAGTTCATTATCCTTATCTTATTACACCATTATACCTAAATAAGTATATTTTAGTTTTAGGATTAACAAAGATCGTATGTTTTAATACGGTACCGCTTTGTATAACAATGTTTGTTTTGCAATTTAAATTTACATTCGTTAAAACCAAATCGTTGCGGTTAATTAGTTCAATAATACTTGCGTCATACTTAAATTTTATCGATTGATTTGTATGTAATAATGCAAATGATTATTTATATTACACAGAGATCTGGTTACATTTAACTTTATTTATTAAATATATTAGGTATAAATTTAGTACCTATATAAACTTACCTATTTAAACCTCAATAAATTTAATTAATTTAATAATGATTGAAAATATTAGTACCTATCTACCTACTTACTAGGTTTTTGAGTTTTTTTGGGATCAGAATTTACCGCAATAACACTGTTTTTGGCTCATTTGAATAAAAATGTTTCATTTACCGTAACTTTGTGACTATCCTTGAAATTTTCCAAATTGTCTTTTAACATATCTTTAACCTATTCTTATCACTTTTTTTTATCCTTTACAGGTATAATTATAATTATTATTTTAAAATTTAAGCATACTGCACAAGCCCTATTTTCTAATGTGTTACTGTGTTAAAAATAATAAGCACGTTGTGAAGTTCAAAGTTAAATTTCGTATCTCTATGACAATAAATCTTAGTTGTATTACACAAATAAAAAAATTATTATCCTGTATAAAGGTCTAAAGTTAAATATACTTTTAAGACAAGATGATAGTAGCAGAATAGTATGAAAATATTTACATTAAAATTAATTAACATTTTTACTTAATATAGCTAACAAATTATCTTGGCACATTGACATTGAAAAGTTATATCTTGATAAAGATTAGACTAGAATAATATAATAATTATATTATTAAATGATTACTAAATGATAAAGAATTTTAAGAGTACCTATTTTTAAATATGCATAATGCCTTAGTTGACAAATTGAAACATGGAAATTTGTTTGGGACACTCTATATAAGTTTAGGTATGTAAATTCTTTTAAACAGATAAAAATTCCCAGAAATTCACCTAAAATTCAAATTCATGCATAAAAAATCCACCCATACCTACAAAAGGCATTTTGGGGTCCTTATTTTCACGAAATTCCACGTTTCCGAAAGCTCAAATTAAAGCAAAAAGTTTATATTGAGAATATCATAATTATCCGACGAACGATGTTCTAACAAAAAATGTTCAAAACAACGCATATAATTTAATAGTCCCTTATTTGGAACATAAGCTTTTATTAATTGAGTACTTGATATCAAACACCGAGTTCGCTTTGTAATCGATTTTGCGAAATTATGGTAATTTTTGAAATAAACGTGAGCTCGTTTCTAAAATGTTTCGCTCTATAGAAGCGACACAGGGACGTTTTTCGATTCCAAAAAATACCCCCTTCTGTTATCTAATACACTATTAATATACCTAAATTATTTAAATATGATAGTGACGTCTGTGTGTATTGTTTTATCTTTTAATTTTTGAAGCAATAATATGATATATGGGACATTTTTGTATTGTTCATTAAATACGTTCAGAGCCGGCCCTGGTAATAAACGGATTGGCTTTTTTCAAAATGTTGAATATTAAAATTTATAATTCGAGCCTGCGCCTATCCATAATAATATAATTTTAATATACAAGACATAATACGGCCGTATTCTGTCACGTTTTATAATGAGAGTTCTAACGAAATTATGATGGCGGAGGCCTCGAATTTGGGAGACGCGCTACGGGAATATTAAATTATGTGGAAATTACCAAAATTTGCCGAATTTTATCGTCACAAATTTCAGGTTGCCCCGCCGTTCTCTAGATGAGTACGGTTTGTTATGCGCGGTTTTGTTGGTTTTGTTAATCAAAAACTAAAGGCTTTTCGAAACCAACACAATTTTTTCTACGCCTAAGCGATTTTCGGAAATTATAACGTTTACTAAATTCCTAATGTGTTTAATTTTAGTACAATTTGGTTAACTAATAAATGGTATATTTAGGAATATATTATTTCCATCATCAATCGAACCCCATTTTCCTATAAAGTTTCTATCAATATTCACTATTCCTAGTAGGAATTGACACGATTCGACCTATTTATGTCGATCGAATGGCGCACCTTAAGAGTTCCCCGACGAATTTCCAAATCCCACGCTCTGTCTTATGATCATACACCGTCACTTCCGCTTCGTTCGATCAAGAAGACAGGAAAACGACTTATTTCGCAGGCTCGCCCTTCCTCATTAATCGAGACAAAGACCGGACTCCGCTGATGGGCACAGAAAAGCGATGGAATAGAAAATGTTTATGCAGTTTATTTGAATATAATTTTATTGTTCCTGTAACTTACCAGTTCATTTTGTGAAATGAAGGGCTCTGTTCAGTTCAATACAACATTCTCTTATTAGAAAATTCTTGTTTATAAGGTACCTACCTCATAATTCATTCCTTCCAGTCATTGATTCATTCATCATAATGTGAATATGGACAGAACGAGCAAAAACTTCATGAAACTTTCCTACTTCCTTCCTTGAAAAACTCGTAATTTCATTTCCACAATCTCTTCATCACCCCGATGACTTCTATATATTTACAATTAAAGTTCGTATACATCTACTAGATAATAAAACATTATGTATATTTGTCCATTATATTAGTATTAATCAAGTTAATTAGAACTTTCCTATTGTACAAAAAAATATATCATTCCATTCCAAAATATTTTATTCAAATTCAACGTACCTGCTGCGTTAATTACCGACAACCACAATCGCCGTTGTACGAACTAATTAAAAATACCGTTTCGAACAGTAGAAAATTTCGACGACGAAAAACCCAATTAGTTAAAAAAAAAACCAATTTCGTATTTACCTGGCGGCGTTGGTACACAGCGGAGAGAAATGCACGTCTGGCCGTTGCGTTTTGAATGAATACATATCGTGCGGAAACGTAATTTCGGAAACGAAAGACACAAAAAGGAATGGTCTAATAACGGCGGCGGTGTCATTAGAAACGAGCAACAAAAAGAGGACCTTTTGCCGCTCAGAGCCCCGAACATCGCCCGTAATTATACACGTGATGTGCACCCAGGCACCCGCCTATGGCGCCGATCGCGTTTTACCAAAGTTATAGATCAGAAAAACATTTATAATCATTATACTTTTGTGCAAAATAAATTATATTGGCTCTATAGGTACTAGTACTAGACACTCCCGAGATCATAGACCATCAAATGGAGTTTGAAATACCTATAGGTACTGTAATATTGATAGTTTAATAGAGATCAATTGAAGGATTCTAAAGGGGTGATGCTTCCTTACAAAAAATTTTTTGGGAAATTTATAAGATTGTTGGTTCTTTATTTGAGGAAAACTTTTTATTCTTATAGGTTTGCTAATTACTGGGACCTTCATTCATTAAATATACTTCTCCACAAAAGTTAAGGAAGTTCACAAATATTGAGATTAATTTAAAAGTTGCAGGTTTTTTGATCGCCAAATTTAGTATGAGTTGTAGAGGCAGGGACAAAAAATCCACTCTGATATGAGAGAAAATATTTAATTTTGCATATTTGAAAATTTGGTGATCAAAAAGTCTGTAACTTTAAAAATAATCGCAAAATTTGCGAACTTCCTTAACTTTTGTGGAGCAGTTTATTATGAGGAATAGCATCCTTATTTAGTACTTACAAATGACCAATCTGTGCGTGCTTGTATAGGTATATAATATTGCATCAAAATACCGACGAAATATTAAAAGAACAGTTTGTGATTTCGACCCGTTTATTTTTTTACCGAAACCTGTATAATTTCCCACAACTAGAACCATTAAATACACCGTTTCGGCCATTTTTCGTAAAGTTCTGTCAATCACCGATGAATAATAAATGCCTGCCCTCCTGCATAGATCCAGATAGGCGGTCGTTCGGAGACTCGAGAACGCACAAAAAAATCCAATCTACCGGCGAAAGACGAATCGATTTGGAAAAATATATAAGCCATCGAGTTTTCCGGCTCGCCATCGCCGTCGAGCATTCGCGCTATTTACCGATAAATATTAAATAAGATCGCTTAGCGGCGATCGCCTCGCGTGATTAGATTGATCTCGAAACGTTTCGGCGTTATTAACTATTAATTTGGCATTATCTCTAGTGTGGTCTTGAGTAAGCGATTCACACTCCACAAGCTGTCCGATTATAATCGATATTCGTGTAGTTTTGTACCCGAAAAGCCTAATTAAATTACTGCACCTAGAGGTATATTACATGCGAATTCAATGGAAGATGTAAGTTTAGATGATAGTAATAGAAAAATATTATTTTTGTCATCAGGATTTTGCATGATGGTGATTCTAAATCTTGATGATGAATAATCAGAAACTTCTCAATCAGTTTCTCTGTGATTTTAATACAATTATAAAGGATTTCTGCAGGAATACAAGTGTGCGATGATCATTTCCTGATGGATATATTAGGTAATTTCTATCAAGGAAATGCATGAAATCGAATACTTGGGAGAAACCAAGAGAGAATCAGCGAAATGTTTCGAATGCACCACCGTCGAATTCCCTTATAAAAGTCATTCTTCGACCATAACCGGTACGTATGTAACATGTATAGCGTGTTCTTAAAAGATCATACATATTTATACGGCGATCCTAACCTGTAATAATAGCCGTCTGAACCTCGCTGATAATCTCTGTGTTTAAATCGAGTTTCTATTGGCCGTCCGGCCGGCCGGGGGTGGGGCATGTGCATTTTTATGCATTAATTTTAATTCCATCCGATTCTGTATAAAAGTTAAGGATATACCGGTAATTGTCGGTTATTTGAGGAATAATGCCATGTTTGTTGCTTAATACATCCGTTTAAAGGAGTACGGAGTATTCCGAAAGATTTGATGCATCGATATCAAATGCTGATTATTATTCGATGGAGCTAAAGA